TCCCCGGCCCTGCCACAGCTCCCTGGAGCTGAGGACGAGGAGCTGCGCCCATGGCGTGGAGGGGAAGAGCCAACCCCTGTGACAGAGGAGCAAGAAGCAAAGACAGCCATGACGACAGCACTCAGCTTTACAGACTTTTATTTTTCGATCTGTACAGAATGCTGTTGCTATTATAATAAGGCATCAAATGCACTGTTGAAAAGCTGATGATGGACTGTGAAGTTTTGCCCTGTCGTGGGACAAAAATGAGTTTTACAAGATTAAACCAGTTGCTTTCCCAGTCGGTAAACTGTATAATCATTACAGGCAGATTTTTAAAAGAATTACAAAGATTAAAAAACTGTAAACATATAAAAACCAGCAACCACCCAGCATAGCTTCCCAGGAGAGAGTCTCAGGCATTTCTGCTGCAGGGCTGCCTTCAGGCTGGCAGTGGCCAGGCCGGCCATGCCTGGGAGCCGCCCTGGGCGCCCAGCGAGGCTGGGACTGCGTGGCAACGGGCCTCCCTTTCTGGTGAGAGTCCTCAGCAGGAGCAAGGCAGTTCCCAAGTGGCCAGCCTTGGCCGCAAGCCTCTAATCGAGAAAAAGAAACTAAGAAAAGGGGTCACCGGGGGAGTTGTTAGAATAGTGGGGAGCCAGCCGGGGAGCCGCCAGCTAAGCTGCAGGGTCCCCTCTGGAGGGAAGGCAGAGGCCAGGGCTGGGCCCGGCCTGTTGACACCGTCATGAGGTAGAAAATGGGAAAGTGTCACATTTCGCTGTTAGGGTGGGTCAGAAATAAACTGACCGACAACACAAATACTGCTATGTTCCAAGGGGTACCGAAAACCCACCTGGTATGCCCCAAAATTTAGATCCCCAAAGAAGAAAGCTCTCCAACGGTCCATGCGAAAGTGTAGCCCAGGCAACAAAAAAAACCCAAACAAACCACACAACAATTTTTCTCACACTTGTACCCTTAAAGCATTTAAATTTTGAGCAGGGGAAATCAAATTGCAATGGTGCACAGGAGGGCAATTATTTCCCTTGGCCTCAGCCTTTGGTACTGCCTCACGTGAGGTGAACGTTGCGAATTCTTGTCCACCAGACAGTGGGCTAATACATTCATTTTCCACTATCGGCTACCAGACAGCAAGTGTTTTGGTCTTCGTCGCACCACACAGCACGAGAACCTGAGAGTCTAGAGGTTTTCTATCGAACCACCAATCCACAAAGTCCTGTCAATTGTAAAGGTATCCTGTTAGGTGATCAGAGAAATGTCCTGAGAGTCTTTATCTACTAAACTCCCGCATTCTGAAGGCCTTCCTTTGCTTCTTTTGTAGCACATACTAACACGAAAATAAAGAAACTGTGTTAGTCCTGTTACTCAAATATTCTTCCTCCTCACACTTCTGCAGTGTATATTTAGATTATTGGGTTGACTTATGTTTCCATAAGATGCTCAGGGAAAATTTGAGGGTTCATTGAAATACTGCAGGCTCATGACCTGTGACAGGCTTTTTACAAAGTGTCAGAAAACTCCTCACTTGACAATAACATACCGGCAGTCGGGGGAGCGTTCCCTTTTCTAGTGCTAATGATCAGCATTAAGGCGTGCCATGGCTCTTAAAAGAAACCTGTGATCCTTATAGCTTTAGCTGTCATCTTTCTGCAATAATGGAATGTACTCCAATTTTATGTATACATATCATTAAAACATAAAAATAATGGCTCTCAAAACCACCAGCCTCAGTTTTAGAGCTCCTGTCACGTATGGAGATTCTCATTAAGGGCCCAGGCTGGCGAAAGGGTTTTCATCCCCTGCGATGTCCATCCACTATCCCACACTGCCTGCCTCTCATTTGGCTCAGCTTTCCCTGGGCCTCGGGAGAACACAGCGAGCCCCTTCCTGTCCTCCAGTCAGAACCAGAGGCAGGACCGTCCCCACTAAAGGCTTCTCCTTACATCTGAAAGCTATTCCATTTATTTACCCGACAAATTCAATACTGAATCCTTGATGGCTCATCCAGAGGGATGTAAACTCTCCAAAGATGACTGGAGATACTGGCCACTGTTGAGTTCCTGCCCACAAACACAAACTGGCAAAATCACCTACTAGGCAGCGGCACCAGCTAATAAGGCTGCTCATTTAATTATCAAATAACACTGAACTAAAGTGAAAGTTAGAGCAGATAACATCTGAAGCAGCATCTCATTTGCAAGGTCAACGTCAAAGCCCGGGTACCACAACATGCTATTTACAGTTGACCAAAGTTATGAACCTGGAGCAGCACAGCTCTAGAGGCCCTCGGTTAAAGGCACCCACACCAGCACCCATGACCAGCAAGCAGGAGGGACTGAACCAGGTGAGTGCCAGACTCAGGTGCTGCACATGTCTCCTGATATGAACAGCCAGAGAAGAGGGAATGAGGAACCAGGTGGCAAAACAGCACTTAGGCTCTGTGTGTGAGGACCCCATGTATCCACCTGTCACTTGTTATTCTGAACATTATGCTGCCACATACTCCCAGGTAACAGGGGCATAAAGGAGATCTCCTCCCCCTTCCCGAGAGAACTCTTCTCAGGTATGTCACAGTGGGAAAAAAACCATTTTAAAAATAATATTCCTGATGCTTGAGACTTAACTCATGACTGACAAGGCTGTGACAGTGAATCACATGTTTCTACTAAGACTGCAGTCAGGGACTGTACAGACAGAGCTCTTCACTCAGGTTTGGCTTTGCCAGGGACACATATATATATTAACAAACATATATATGGTAATAGGACATATATATATTAAACACTGTTCAGTAAGAACCGACACAGGTGCATACAACAATCTTTCTTGGTTTTCTCAGCACTGCAAGAACATAACTTTACTGTTCCACAGAAATTGGCTGACATTAAAGCAGCATCAGTGATACAGGGTTTTTGCTACTGTGCCACAGAACTGTGATTAATAACAATATGTACCCTTGATCATCCTCTATGTTGAGTCTCATTTCAGTCAGTGAACTGTGTGAAATTTAACTTTTGTATTTCCTAATAATTTTTTTTTAAAAAATAAATTGTTTTTTATGGAATGAGCCCGAGAAAGCTCCCTAACCTTTCCTTGGTGGTTATAAGAAGTCTAGCAGTCCAGTGACATAAACCCGAAGTTTCAAAAGGACTAGTAAGACGCAGATGCCCCCAGTATAAACAAAGCCCTGCAGCTGAGCTTGAATTTCTTCTGGCATCCATACTGCAGGAGAAGCATTCAATCTCAGCATCACCATGCTTTTTCACTCTTTGTGTCTTTTGAGACTTCGAACAAGAGGTCAGCTAATTCAAGTTATGGCAGTTTTCATACAAAGACATCTGTCCACCAGAAACTAAACTCTTTTATATGGGTCACTATAGCTATCAGAAGTTAATGACTATCAATCATTGCTAATCTGAACTGAAATGGAGCCACTGACCTCAAGCTGAAAGAGCCTTTTGTCTCCTACCAATACCATGAGCCATATGGTTCCCTGCCCTTTGCCTCTTATTTTATATTTCAAATAATCATCACTAATTGTACAATTGTTTGAAAATATGGGAGGTTTGTGGCAAGTCATGAGCAAGTGGTGTTCTTTTCTCCCTTAGCTCTCATTCAGTAGAAAAGACCAGTTTAAAATTAAAGGATAAAAAACCATCTCTCTATGTATTAGCCTTACTATATGATTATTAGTCCTGCTTCTTAACGGTCTACCAAGCAGACTGTTGACAATCCTGCTGGCTGCAATAAGTAACAGCTTCCAAAGTGTCAAGGTTGTTCCTGTTCTATATGGGAGTAATAAGAAAATTATATAGACAACACACCAATGGAATGTTTTATATTAGGATAAATGAATATCTGAGGAACCTACTTATCATAAATCTCTTTTTTATTCAGTGGTTTTCATTATTTTATATCAGTTGCATTTTCTCTGCCACATTTTCCCTTTACAACAAGTGCCCATATACTGCAAACATTCGATTATAGATCTTAAGAAAAAAACATTCTTTTCAGACAAATAAACTGCATCACCAGCTATCTTTAGCCACATCTGTTTTCTTTGATGATACATTTTTTCCTGTGGAAATGCTGCCTTAAAAATCATGACCACGCTAATTATCTACGGCAAGAACATCTTCCTCGACCAACGACAGCTCAAGCATGTTATCGTTTCCACCAGACTTCATTCTGAAATTGAAAGACCCATAGAGCTTTGCAGACTCCTTGGAGGATGCAAACCTGCTTCTCCGGTAGAGCTCCCCTTTCCACATGGACATCATGAGCAGGCTGGAGAGCACCACTCCCCCCAGGGTTAAGAGACACAACCCGGCGATAACACAGCGGTCCAAGTGAGCCCCGATCCTTGCGCTCTCATTCTCTAGCCTCTCCATCTCACGAGCAGCCACAGTGTTAGGATCCACAGTCACGTCTCTGGGTACCACGTAGGAAATGATTACCAGCAAAATGCCACTAACCAAGAACAAAATGGCACTAATGAACCCGTAGTCCACGGATTTCCCAGCCGCTGCCTCTGAGGCAGCGTCATCCTCCTCGGAGACCAGGGAAGGAGAATCATGTGCCCACTCGGGCGGCAGCTCCCTGCAGGAGTGCTGCTGCAGAGGGGCATCCTGGCAGTCGCCGCCTGCAGGACTGGAGACACTTCTTGCATGCTCCAGGTTTACGTTTTCATCCACGTAGGTGAACGATGTCTCAAGTTCCTGGGCACAGCAGCAGGCTTTCTTCCCCCCACCATCCTCTCCCTCAGGCAAGCGCTCTGGCAGTCGGCAGGGCTGGGAGGTGCTGAAGGGTGCAGGGTGCTCTTGGGGCGAGGTGCCTGGTGGGGAGGGCTGGGGTGCCAGGGGGGCCTCAGCCACAGAGCCCCTCTGCGAGGGCTTGCAGTGCCTTTCGCAGCACAGGGCTGCCACAGCAGTGGCTGCTCTGAGGTCCACCTCACCCCCCTCACACTGCTGCTGCTGGTAGGGAGGGGAGGGCAGGCTCCAGCTGGTAGAGGTGCCCAGAGGCACCTGCCTGCTCTCCTCAGCCAGGTAAAGAAGTTCCATGCAAGCCATCGACCTCGTCCCAGCGAGCCCCGACTCCCGGGCTACCACATCCTGCAGCAAAGGCTGCCCCTGACCTGCTGAAGTGGCTTCACAGTACCGGAGCTGCTGTATCCCAGAAATCTTCTACTCTTTCACCAATGTTTTGTTAGGGACATGGCTTGTGTCAGCTGTTAAACGATTAAACAAATCCTCTCTGACATTCATTTCTTTTCGGTCTGCGAATGAAATAGCAGAGGGGGAAAAAACACAACAACAACAAAGCCAAACGTGACAACCTCATGACGATACATTAATAAACCAAAGAGAAGATAACGCAAATGTAATACATCAGTCTTCCTCTCAACTGTTCAAGGGGAGATGGCAAACACGATTGTTTTAACCATGCATTTAAAACTGCAATCCTCTTGCAGATCCAAAATCTATTAGGGAGTCTAATCAACCTTTGACACCAATATCCAATTAAGGCAGTAAGTCATCTACAGAGCACAGGATAACCAGGATAGCTGTGTAAAATGCCAGAGAAAAGAGATGCCTGTTTTTTTAGAAGCAAGTAACTCCCCCACCCTCTTCCAAATAACGAATTTTAAACTCGGGTTCACAGACTAATTAGAAAGAAACACGCAAATCCCGTGCGGCTCAGTAATCCAGGATCTGTATTCTCTGGTGGAAATCTGATAATCCTATGGGAAAAGCAGTGCTTTCCTATAGCTGATCTCCCGTTCGATTAAGAGCTTTCGGAACGAAATTATGCCTCGAAGACTGATGACTCAAACACGGGTATTACTTCTCATCTGCAATTAATTCCTTATTACCCCCTTCCCCTGCGCCCCAT